GTTCTGTATTTATAAATTACAGAACTTTTTAATATGTTCGTCATATTTGAAGTGGAGAGGAGCACCGAGCAGACTGACCGGAGTAATCTCCAGTCAGTCTGCCTGCTGGCATTAATTGTATTAATCGTCAAGTGCCAAAAAGTAATCGATTAATGTTTTTCTGACGATTAATTGCACACGATACGATTATGCCCAACCCTACTCAAAACTAGAGTTTGACCGATACATCGGCCGGCTGATATTTGTGTTTTTTTCTTGTGGCATCAGCCGATAAGTGGATGCATTCGCCAACACAATAACTTATGATAGATGTTTTAAATATTATATACAGTATATAAATGTTCTACTTTGCTATCAATTGGTAATAAGTTTTGTTTGTCGTGTTAATAAAGGTTTTATTTTTGTATAAAATGAGACTTATGTAACATCTGATATCACTGTGTCATTTTTACCACGTAAATGGAGGAAGAAAAAGCAATATCCGCTTCAAGAATCTTCCCAAAACAATTAGCAGCACATAGAACGTAGCATGTAGAAATAATTGGTAATGGCATCAGCCTTAAAAAACCTGTATTGGCTGATCAAAACAAGAGTCAAAAAGTAAGGAAATTAGTGTTAGAATATTTCTTTGTTTTAACAATGCTTCTTGGTAATAAACCTTATAGTGGGCACCTGACTGGCAGCACATGGGCGTACCAGAAGCTCAAAACAAGTGTCAGTATCAACAGCAAACTAAGCGATTTGGCAGAGTAGATTAGGCAAATTTTTCTTTTGTGCAACCCTCATACTCAGCTCTGCTGCTCATCCCACAAGTGCATGTTCCTAACAAATGTGGCACCATTTAAAATGGAAATTAACATGATTCCCAATAGAATAAGATTTATTGCCAAGAAGCTTTGTTACAACAAAGATCTACTACCAAACACAAACATCCCTACTTTTTGTGCTAAGTAGGGATGCACCGAAATGAAAATTTCAGCCGATATCGATATCCGATATAATTATTGCTGTTATGGCCGATAACCAATATTTACCGATATTACACAAACACACAAAATATATTATACATATATGAACAAACACACTTGGGTCTTTTTTTGATATGGTAAACAAACGATCAGACCTCTGACATGGCTCCCTACTTCAGTTATTCCTGGCTATGCAGCGTCACTAACACTATCATGATCAAACAGTTGCCACTCAACCACCCATCTCTCCTCCCAAATCAGAAACACAAAGCTAAAAAGTGGGAAATCAATATCAGATGTTAATATTGGACTTTTTGTTTTACATATCGGACCAATACGGATATTATAAAAAAATTATCAATATCGGCCAATACCGATATTAATGCAGATATATCGTGCATCCCTAGTGCTAAGTTTGTATGCTTATACTTAAATCATGCCATGGTTGCTCTGGCCGGATGTTACATGGTTGTTGTCCCACTAAGTGAAGCTCCAGTCTCAAGTTTCCTTCTAGGACTGTCCTGTATTCAGCTCCATTCATATTTCCTTTTACTCCCTGCTG